GAAGAGCGAGATTAACACTTGCAATCGAGAGTACACGTTCGCACGATTCGAGAAAACTGTCGGCGAGGATGAAAAGTAGAGGAACAGCAAACTAAGCAGGAGGGGGAGGAGGAGGAGGAGGGGGAGGAGGAGGAGGAGAAGGAGGAGGAGGAGGAGAAGGAGGAGGAGGAGAGAGGAGGAAAACAACGATGAAGAAGCTGAGGATCAAAGGCCAAGAAACGATTGGGAGGACAAGGAGCAGCTGGGGATGATAACGAGGAGGAGGAGGAGAAGGAGGAGGGAGAGGGCAAGGATGGGAATGACAAAAAAACAAGGGAGGATGAAAGGGAAAGGAAGGAGGAGGAGGAGCAGGAGGAGGAGGAGGAGGAGGAACTGGAACAGAAGGAGGAGCAGGAGGAGGAGCAGGAGGAGGAGCAGGAGGAGGGGCAGGAGGAGGAGGAAATTTGGCTGGCTCAATTCTGCGCGACCCTTGATGCCGCTGGTAGCTCGGTTGCTTTCTACATGCGGCCCAAGTAGGCGCAGACAGATCCCAAATTGCCCAAGTCGGCACACGCCTCACGCAAACTCATGTTTCATCGCGCCTGTCGGCGCCGACGCAAATAAACAGCTGCATGTATTGAAGAACATATTTTCTGCAGCTTATAAATAAGATGCTGAATTTTATTATAAGATCCATATCTTCGTGATATTAAAACAAGTTCTGTGAACCTCAGGGCAGTGAGGGCCACGGGCGGATCCAAATTAGACCTCGCCATCCCTGGGGGGCTGCGATCTGCGAAACTGTCGCCATTTTCGAGGCCTGCTGGGGGGCCCAGCACAGTGACGCCACGCGCGGACCCAAATTAGACCTCGCCATCCCTGGGGGGCTGCGATCTGCGAAACTGTCGCCATTTTCGAGGCCTGCTGGGGGGCCCAACACAGTGAGGGCCACGCGCGGACCCAAATTAGACCTCGCCATCCCTGGGGGGCTGCGATCTGTGAAACTGTCGCCACTTTCGAGGCTTGCTGGGGGGCCCAGCACAGTGAGGGCCACGGGCAGATTCAAATGAGACCTCGCCATCCCTGGGGGGCTGCGATCTGTGAAACTGTCGCCACTTGCGAGGCCTGCTGGGGGGCCCAGCACAGTGAGGGCCACGCGGCGGATTCAAATTAGACCTCGCCATCCCTGGGGGGCTGCGATCTGGAAACTGTCGCCATTTTCGAGGCCTGCTGGGGGGCCCAGCACAGTGAGGGCCACGCGCGGATTCAAATTAGACCTCGCCATCCCTGGGGGGCTGCGATCTGCGAAACTGTCGCCATTTTCGAGGCCTGCTGGGGGGCCCAGCACAGTGAGGGCCACGCGCGGATTCAAATTAGACCTCGCCATCCCTGGGGGGCTGCGATCTGCGAAACTGTCGCCATTTTCGAGGCCTGCTGGGGGGCCCAGCACAGTGAGGGCCACGCGCAGATTCAAATTAGACCTCGCCATCCCTGGGGGGCTGCGATCTGCGAAACTGCCGCCATTTTCGAGGCCTGCTGGGGGGCCCAGCACAGTGAGGGCCACGGGCAGATTCAAATGAGACCTCGCCATCCCTGCGGGGCTGCGATCTGTGAACCTGTCGCCACTTTCGAGGCCTGCTGTGATCCCCGTTTTCGAAGTGGCTAGGAGTGCTCAGGAATTGTAAATCATCAGCTTTATCAAGCCCTTTTCCTGTAGCCAGTGTCCTGCGAGTCTCCCGAATTCCGTCTGCAGACGTATGTAACCCTCGCTCCGTCATCGCCCCCTTATAATAAAGTATCCTAAACTATTTGCGCCCCGCTTTTGCGCAGGGGTTGGGTACGTCGCCAGGGTAATGTTTGGATTATTTTGGGGTATTTTTCACAACTCTCCTTGGTTGGGTATTCGTCGTTTTGAATAAGGGACTGTGGTCTCCACCTTCCTTCCTCCCGCCTCCCTCCTTGGTTGGGTATTCGTTTTGAATAGAGCACTGCTCGCGCGTCGCCTCCCGCCTCCCTCCTGCCTCTTGCCTGCCTCCTCCTGTCTTGCCTGCGGGGGGCTGCGATCTGTGAAATTGTCGCCACTTTCGAGGCCTGCTGGGGAGCCCAGCACAGTGACGCCACGCGCGGACCCAAATTAGACCTCGCCATCCCTAGGGGGCTGCGATATGTGAAACTGTCGCCACTTTCGAAGCCTGCTGGGGGGCCCAGCACAGTGACGCCACGCGCGGACCCAAATTAGACCTCGCCATCCCTAGGGGGCTGCGATCTGGGAAACTGTCGCCACTTTCGAAGCCTGCTGGGGGGCCCAGCGCAGTGACGCCACGCGCGGACCCAAATTAGACCTCGCCATCCCTGGGGGGCTGCGATCTGTGAAATAGTCGCCACTTTCGAGGCCTGCTGGGGGGCCCAGCACAGTGACGCCACGCGCGGACCCAAATTAGACCTCGCCATCCTGGGGGGGCTGCGATCTGTGAAACTGTCGCCACTTTCGAGGTCTGCTGGGGGGCCCAACACAGTGACGCCACACGCAGATTCAAATTAGACCTCGCCGTCCCTGGGGGGGCTGCGATATGTGAAACTGTCGCCACTTTCGAGGCCTGCTGGGGGGCTCTGGGACCTCACCGCAGACTCAAGTTAGACATCGCCATCTCTCGGGGGCTGCGATATGAGATCCCCGCTTTCGAAATGGCTAGGGGTTCTCAGGGATTGTAACTAATCAGCTTTATCTAGTCCTAGTCCTGTAGCCAGTGTCCTGCGAGTCTCCCGAATTCCGTCTGCAGACATATGTAACCCTCGCTCCGTCATCGCCTTCCTTATAAAGTGTCCGCCAGGGTTTGGGTACGTCGCCAGGGTAATTTATTTGTCGGAGATCCCCCTGTATGGGGGACATGCCCGACTTAAAACAATGGCTGTGCACGTGTGGCTGCGTTCCGTTTCGCTTCTCGAGAGCAGGGCGGCCGAGGCGGGCTCCGGGCGGCGGGTGGCCACAGAGGCAGCGGGACCTGAGCAGGAGGGCGTCCCTGCGAGGCGGCACGGCGGGGACGAGCGGGAGGAAGAAGGAGACGAAGAAGAGGAGGCAGCAGGCGAAGAGCATGACTGGGCCCTGCACTGCGCGTCTGGTGTCTCGTGCCTGCTCGACCTGCTGTATTCCACGACGCTCGAAGGCAACCTCCGACAAATCGTGGCGGGGTGGAGGAGCAACACCAGGGGGGGGCGGTGCAGGAACGAGTGATCGAACGGGCAATGACGCAAGAACAGTCGACAACCAATAGGCTTCCTACGCGAGCTCGGAGCGCCTAGAGGCCACCGATTCGGAATCACGATGGGGAGGGGGGGAATGAAAGCGGAGCGGGGGAGGAGCACGGAGACGACCAGGAGGAGGAGGAGGCAACAGCGCGTCGGGTCTGGAGGAATTCATGGCAAAGCGGGCGACGTGGTTCGAGGACACATGAGAAGTCCGACAGAGCGAAACGGGGTGCGACCTGAGATAGCAATGCGCTTCTGTGCTTGCTCGGACGCAGAAGTGTAGGCCTTCAGGCAGGCAAGGCAAGGCAAGGCAAGGCAAGGCAAGGCAAGGCAAGGCAAGGCGCCCTGGGGCAGGTCTTACCAGTCCAGACAGTTGCAACTCCGCCCCACGACGGAGCAGAGGGGCAGATGGACCAAAAGATGCAAGCACAAAGCACGCCTCCGGGATCCACTAGGGCCGCTGGAGGAGGAAAGAGATGGTGCACTGATCAACAGGTCCGACCTGTGAATCCGTCAGGGAACGCCCACTCGAGGAATCCGACGGCCAGGCAATCGGCATCTCTAGCCAGCCACCCTCACCACCGACCCCGAAAGCAAGGCGAGAGGGACCAACAGCATGATAGCATGCCCGTGCGAGCATGCCACGGTAGGATTACAAGGGAAACTGAGAGAAACCAGTGTCCTCCTCCTGGTCTTCCCCTTATCTCCTTCTCCTCTCCCTCCACCCATCGACCCCCGCCTCCTCTCATCATCCTGCGCCCGCTCCTCTCTTCTGCGCCTCCCCCCTCCCCCCCTGCTCCTGCCCCTCCTGTCCTTCCTTCTCCTCCTCCTCCTCCTCCTCCCCCTCCTCCTCCTCCTCCTCCTCCTCCTCCTGTTCCGTTTCCTCCTCCTCCTCCTCTTCCTCCTCTTCCTCCTCCTCCCTCCTCCTCCTCCTCCTCCTCCTCCTCCTCCAATGTGCACCTCCTCCTCCTCCTCCTCCTCCTCCTCCTCCTCCTCCAATGTGCACCTCATCCTGAAGGACCTGGCCGAGGAGGATGACAACACGACGCCGACGAATGACGACGACAAGAAAACACGGGGACGGCGGCGGTCGGGTGAAGAAGAATTACCATCACCGCGACTGCCCGGACCTCTCTCGGGGTGCGTTATGACCAAGCTTTCGATGCGAATCCAGCCGTGGCGACGAGGGAAGGGAAGGGGAGCGGTATCGCTGTTTAGATGGTCCCCTGCCGTTGCAAAGCAGAAGATGCATAAAGCATACTTCCTCGGAGGTCCGCGCGGGTTTCTCTCGGACCGTCGCTGGACCCCTCCCCCACACCCGTCGCGTTGGCGCGCGCGGAGTGGGCCAGGGGCGGCGCTGGAAGCGCCGCCGTACAGTCAACCCGTAGGGTAAGGACGCACAACAAGGATACAGTCGGATTTCGTTGGACAGGACACGCAAGAGGACACAAGAGCCTTCCGAGGGCCACATTGCCACAGGAATGCAGGAGGCATGGGTCGCGAGGCACAGGACACAAAGGTACCCTTGAGCTGGCAGGGTCGACGTACTAATCCGGGCCGGCTGTAGGGTATGGACGCACGACAAGGATACAAAGGCCTTGGAAGGCCATGTCGCCACTTTGCGAGCAGGGCGCGGCCAGCGAAAGCAAGCGAGGATCGGCCGAAGGGGCAGGATGCAAGGGTAGCCTTGGAAACTTGCTCATCCTTACTATGCGGGATGGCTGCAGTTCGAGTTTGAGCGATGGCGGGATCGGCGGCGGCGGCGAACCAGCGGCCTCGGAGCGGAGCGTGGCCGCTGGGCGTCGGCGGCAATTGGGCGACCACTCGTAGCGCTCGCACTCCTCGGCGTGGTGGCCAGAGCGGGCCAAGGGCGCTGTCGGGCGCCTCGCTACCCCATCCATGTTTCCAACCCCCTGGCTCCTCCCCTTTGGCCCTCCCCCTTCCTTCTTCCCGTGCTCCTCCCCAATCCTCACCCTCCCCACTCCTTCCTCCTTCTCCTCCTCAACCTCCTCCTCATCCTCCTCCTCCTCCACCCGATGCGTGGCCCCTAGGGCCCCCTGGACGCCCCTGCAGGAGGCCCCTGAATCTTTTCAGAGCTCCTGGAAGCCCTTGCTGGGCCTGGGCACCAGGCCCAACTCGGTCAGGAGGACGGCCGAACGCCCCCCGAGGGCCCTAAGAGGCCCCAGACACCCACCAGACGCCTGGAGACGACCCAAAAAAGATCCCCAAGAAGTTTTAAAATGCCCTGTTTTTCGGTCTTCCGGGCGTCCGGGGTCGCCTCGGAGGCCTGAAAATCCCCCAAAACCATTTCAAAAGGCTTCCAGGCAGTCGAAGAGAACCACAAGCCGGAACAACAGGGTTCCAAGATGGCCTAAGAGTGCCCCATGACGGCCCAAGATGGCCCCAAGACACCCTCCGAAGCATTCCAAATCATGACCCTGTCGCTCAGGGAGACCGCGGTTGGAGGCAGGGTGGCCCTAGGAAGCCCCCAGAGTCCCCGAAAAAAGACGCACAGGAAGCCTCCAGAAGGCCTGGAGAAAGCCTTCAAAACTTCTACGAGTTCCCCAGAGGCTCTCCAAGGAGGATGCTCCGCAAAAAGAGCTCAGGATGGGGAAGAATTCGCAAGGTAGGGCGAGAATGTGAAACAAAATAATGGCGGAAAGATAATGAACAACATTATCATAACCGCGATGCCGCAACAAGCAACAGGGAATTATCGCAAAACCTTCCGTTTGACCGTCCTGCCTTTCTGCCTGCATGCCAAACTTCAAGGACCAAGGCGCATGGCGTGAAGCGCCAATGCAGTCTTGTAAAGATGTATATACACAGACAAACATACCTATGCACTGTACATATCTACATCCATATCTATATATACATATCCATCGGCGACGGGCGCCCCGATAGCAAGACCGCACGGTCCTGGGCGGGGTGGGCAATCGGGCCCCCTTTATCGGAGATGAATGGGTGGTCGGTGCTTAGTAACAAACAAAACAACTTCTGACCCTTTGGGAGGGGACCTAACTCAGGAGGGCCATAAACATGAGGGATGGGTGGTCTTTTCTGCAGACGTACCAATGCAAACTGCCCAGAAACATCATCCTTATTGCAAAGACGAGGGTCTAAGTGAGCGACGATCAGGAAAGGGGTCTTGCGCGAGATGACTTCGCGAACTTACGCGGAGACGTACGCGGGCCGCCGGCGCGGCACGCTGCGTTGGAAGCAAGGGCGTTCATGCGCGAGCTTGCGCGGGCAGGTCACGCGCCAAGGTAGGCGCAAACGACCCCGTCTTGTTTCGTCGCGAGCCACAGGCCCACCACGACCCGGAAGCCAAGGAATGTGGAGGAGAAGGAAGAGGAGGAGGAGGAAGAGGAGGAAGAGGAGGGGGAGGAGGAGGAGGAGGAGGAGGAGGAGGAGGAGGAGGAGGAAGAGGAGGACGATCAGGAGGAGGAGGAGGAGGAGGAGGAGGAGGAGGAGGGGGAGGAGGAGGAGGAGGCGCGTGGCTGGATTCGGGGAGGTCTGGCGGAGAGGGACGATCGAATCACCCGGTCCCGCACTGGAGGACGCCATCTCCGATCACAGCCAGAGTCGCGCGGCGGACTCCCAACGATGACAATGATGACCTGCAGAGTTCGTTTTTTCAGGTGTGGCCTCAGAGTGCACTGAGGCGCGTCTTGAGCCAAAACGGGTACGGACCCTCATCCGTCCCGCGGCTCGCGCAAGGTATCGTGACAATCTCGTGCCCGAATAAGCGTCCTAAATTCTGCCCCTGGTGATTTGTCACCAGGAACGAGAAGTCAGAATTCCGGGCGTGCCGGCCCATCCGTTTTCGAACGGGTGTTCCTTCAACCAGAACATCCGCACGGATTCTGACACGAGCGTTGTCGACTATCGAGCGGATTCCCCGCCCGACCACCGACTTTGAGCGAAATGCACTATTGAGCATCGGCTGTAAATACAATAAACTAAAGTTATGGGGCCGGCCCCCAGAGGCTGGCCGAAAATACAATACAATTCATAATACACATGCACATGTCAATGGCAGCGAGATTGCCCCTGCGCTCTGGCAAAGATTGAACGGCTGGCGCACCGGCAGCTCTCTTGTCGCAGCGGCGGGTGAAAACGGCTGGCGCACCGGCAGAACTCATCTCGCAGCGGCGGGCATTCTGGCCTCCTCTCGTGGCCAGAAACAACACTCGGAATCAGAGGGCCGGCGGGTCCTGCGCTCTGGACGTTCATGCATGACATGACTATTGTACTAATTCATAAAAGTATATAGTATACGGAAGCCCTTGCTCCCGCGCGTCTCCTCGGCTGTCGAACGGTTGCCCGCCCGACAGTCAAGAGCAGCAGGATGGATGCAGACAACGAGGTCACCTGTGACGTGTGCACCATTGCTCGAGATTCTGATCAATGCGTGCCACCGTCTTTGACTCCAGTCAGGTTCTCAAGGCAAAATATGCATACACAGTTATGACTCCAATGACCTGTCACCACAATGAGCGATACGTGCCTGATGGACTTACAAGCTCCCCCCATCCGCAGTACACGACAAATGAAGCTGTGGATGCCCACGTCAGTCCATGGCCTTTTCAAGTGCCGCCCATCTCCGCTCAGAAGCTCCAGGTCTGTTTCGCGGTGCTCCTCTGCGGCGTTTCTTTCTAGGGCCGGCCTCTTCTCCAGCTCCAGCGTCTGGGCGTTGATTCGCACGATCGGCCCCTGCGTCTCCTGATACGCCAGCAGCAGATGAGGTGGCTCCACGGCCTCCTCCAGTCAGCTGCGCCGTTGCCTCGATCACGGCGTGCAGCTGCTCGTTGGTAATGCCGTGGTTCCTGACGAAGGCGGCGTAGGGCACGCGCATGTCGTCGGCGTAGTTCGCGCACACCTCTGGCAACGAGGTGAGATCAGAATCTGGAAGCCACCTCTCGCACATGGCCCTCAGGAGCTCCCCCCACATTGGGTGGTCTCGCGGGACGTCCGGGTGGACGATGCCCTCAATCATCAGCGTGCTCCCCCCTCCTCCCCCATGCGCTGCTGCAGCACCAAGTCGTGGAGGCTGCACAGGATGGGGCGTGGAGGGGCCGTCGCCTGCCATGTCGCTCCTGTTGGCCCGTCCTGGTGTCACAGAAGTCGCGTGCGCAGCCACCGTGCCAGGGAGCTGGCCCTCCATGGCGTCAATGAGGACCTTGATCACCTCAGGCGTGGCCAGCTTGGTCAGCGCGTCGGCGACCATCTCCTTCGTGGGGCAATGGCTAAGCTTCACTCGGCCCTGCTTCCCCTCCTCCAGCAGACGCTCGGCGCGCACGGCATAGTAGCGAGTGCGCCAGGTCGCACCCAAGCTTGCAGCAGTAAGAGCAGCTTGGTTGTCGATCATGACCTCGACGCACTTGGGGTACAGGTGCAGCGTGGAGAGGAGGTAGCGTATCCCCTCGGTCACCTGCCAGCCCAGCGCGGCGGCACAGAGCTCGGCCTCGGCCGTGGACAGCGCCGACAAGGCTGCCCGGCTGGAGCGCCACGTGATCACCGAGCCGCCCCAGCAGATGACCAGACCATTCTGCGACTGGGTGGCTGCCCCGGCAAACCCCGCATCTGAGTAGACGCGGAGGTCGTTCTCGTCGCCCTGGGCGGTAAGAAGAAGACCTTGGTCAGCTGTCCCTGCCAGATACCGGAGCACCTTGTGGGCGAGGTCGCGGCTCCATGCCCCGTACTTGGTGGTACTTGAAGCCAAGAGGGAAGTCCAGTAAGACACATCTGGCCTGGTGCGCGTGGCAAGCCAATTGAAGGCCCCAGCGTGGGCCTGCAGTTCCTTGAGCTGCTCTCGCTGCGGCGGGTCCTCCTGCTCAGGGAGCTTGTCCATGGAGACGCTCTTGATGGATTTGCAGCGGTCCATTCCGTGCTTCGCCAAGAGCTCCTTGGTGAAACGTTCCTGGGTGAGATAGATATCTCCGTTCGAGCGCCTGTACCAGTCCAATCCCAAAAATGTCAAGGACACCTCTGGCGTGAGGACTCTCTCGGGCCCAAACTCCCACAGACCGGTGAGCGCCTTGACGAATGCCTCCCTGCTCGGCCCCTTCTCGGTGAGGAGGAGCATGTCGTCCACGTAAACACGCAGAAGCCCATGTAGTTCACGTGGGTGTCCATTCCGTCTGAGGCTCCACACCTGGGTGTCGGCCTCGTTCTGCTCCACGTAGAACTCGTCGCCGTCGTGGGTCCACCTGAGCTGCTTCAGCTTGCGGTCCCTTTCGTCTGACCACCACTTCGGGCTCTGGCGGAGACCGTACACCGCTCTGTTCAGCTTCCACACCACGCCCTGCTCAACGATGCCCCAGGCGACCCACTGCGCAGGAGGCTGGACCAGGATGAGGTCGTCAGGCGGCAGCGGTGCATTCAGGAACGCCCCCTTCACGTCGAGTTTGCTCACAACCCAGTTCCGCATGGCAGCGAGCTTGGCAGCCATAAATATGCTGGATGGTTCGGCTTGGGCCGTCCAGCGCTGCGCGGCGGGGTCGAACTGCTGGAGGTTCCCGGCTATGCAGGTTCGGCACTTGCGGAAATCTTGGTCTGTGCGGGACCACACGTTCAGCATGGGCAGCGGCCTCTTGCCATATCTCTTGATATCGTCAGCTGTCGCCACCTGGATCGCGTCCCGCGTCAGGAACGAGTCGTGCTCCGCCTGGGCGGCGAGGATCCACGAGTCGAGGTCGGGGCCGACTGCTCGGCGAATCTCTTCTGGAGGCACAACTGTCTTGCCTGGCTCCGGGCCGGCGACCTGCTGCATGGCCTCAAGAACATCGCCTTCTACATGGTCGACTGGCCCTGGGTACGCCACTGCTGCGCACCA